GGGGGACATCAGGTCTACCCCCATTGAAATCTATTGGGGGACATCAGGTCTACCCTCATAGAGTTCTATTGGGGGCCACCAGGTCTACCCCCATTGAAATCTATTGGGGGACATCAGGTCTACCCTCATAGAGTTCTATTGGGGGCCACCAGGTCTACCTCCATTGAACTCTATTGGAAAACACCAGGTCTACCCCCATTGAAATCTATAGGGGGACACCAGGTCTACCCCCATTGAATTCTATTGGAGAGACACCAGGTCTATCCCAATAGAGTTAGATTGGACAGACACCAGGTCAATCCCCATTTTCTATGGGATGGACACCAGGTCTACCCCCATTAAGGTCTATGGGATGGACACCAGGTCTACCCCCATTGAAACCTATTGAGAGACACCAGGTCTACCCCCATTGAAACCTATTGGAGGACACCAGGTCTACCCTCATTGAAATCTATTGGGGGACACCAGGTCTACCCCGATTGACTACTATTGGATGAACATTAGGTCTACCACAATTCATTTCAATTGATGGGACACCAGGTCTAAGCCCATTGAAATCTATTGGGGGACACCAGCTCTATCCTATTGACCTCAATTGAGGGACACCAGGTCTACCCCCATAGAGTTCTATGGGAGGGACACCAGGTCTACCCCTATAGAGTTCTATGGGATGGACACCAGGTCTACCCCCATTAAAGTCTATGGGATGGACACCAGGTCTACCCCCATTAAGGTATATGGGATGGACACCAGGTCTACCCCCATAGAGTTCTATGGGATGGACACCAGGTCTACCCCCATAGAGTTCTATTGGGGGACAACAGGTCTACCCATAGGGTTCTACAGGAAGAGCAATTTTGGGAAGGTCTCTGATGGATTTTTGGGGTCTCTGAGGGGGTTTTGGGGTGCTCAGGTGTTTGGGGGTGTCTGGAAGTGTCACCCTGGGTGCTCCCCAATATTTTGGGGGGCACCAGTGGGTGCTGGGGAGGGGTCCCAGGTGTGGGGGACACCAGGTCTACCCATAGATTCCAATGAGGGGGGGGGATAAAAAAAATTTTGGGGGGGATCCCTGAGGGGGTTTTGGGGGTCGATTCCCCAAAATCTCGTGGGGTGGGTGAGGCCTCACCGGGTGGGCTTCAGCTGCACCTCGTCCTCCTCCTCCTCGCGGGGCGGGGGTCCCTGGGGGAGGGCGCGGTGCTGGGACGCCAGGAAGCTGAACATGTCGAAGGTGCACTTCCTGCGGGGGAGGGGAGGGCTTAGAGGGGACCCCCACCGTGGCTGACCCCTCCCCACCCAGGGCTGACCCCTCCCCACCCACAGGGACCCCCCCCAAAACCACTGGGGCACCCCCGAGTTGTCTCCACCCCTGAGGGTGGCACCAAAGGGGAGGGGCTTGGAACCCTCCCAGTATGGCCCAGTGGCTCCCAGTATGGCCCAGTGGCTCCCAGTATGGCCCAGTGCATCCCCAGTGGCTCCCAGTACGGCCCAGAGTCCCCCAGTCCCTCCCAGTCCCCCCAAAATTGCCTCAGGTCCATCCCAGTCCCTTCCCCACCCCCACCAAACCCCTCCCAGTTCCCTCCCAGTCCCCCCCAAATCCCCTCCCAGTTCCTCCAGTTCATCCCAGTCCTGAAATGGGGCTGGGGGCTTCAGAATGGGGTCTGGGGGCTTTGAAATGGGGGTTAAAAGGGGTTTGGGGGCTTCAAATGGGGCTGGGGTTTTTGGGGTGATTTTGGGCATTTTTGGTTGATTTTGGGGTGATTTTGGGGTGATTTTGTGGTGATTTTAGGGTGATTTTGGGCATTTTTGGGTTTTTTTTGTTGATTTTGGGGTGATTTTGCAGCGATTTTTGATGATTTTGAGTGATTTTTGGATGATTTTCAATTATTTTGGGGGGTTTTGGGGTGGTTTTGTGCTGATTTTAGGGTGATTTTGGGCATTTTTGGGTTTTTTTTGTTGATTTTGGGGTGATTTTGCAGCGATTTTTGATGATTTTGAGTGATTTTTGGATGATTTTCAATTATTTTGGGGGGTTTTGGGGTGGTTTTGTGCTGATTTTAGGGTGATTTTTGATTAATTTTGGGAGTTTTGGGATGATTTTTGATGCTTTTAGGGCAATTTTCGATTAATTTTGGCGGTTTTGGGCTGATTTTCGATGAATTTTGGCTTTTTTGAGGCGATTTTGTGATGATTTTAAGGTGATTTTTCATGAATTTGGGAGTTTTGGAGTGATTTTTGATAAATTTTGGGGGTTTTGGAGGCAATTTTGGGGTTTTTTGGGTGATTTTGTGGTGATTTTAGGGTGATTTTCAATGAATTTCGGGTTTTTTGAGGCGATTTTGTGATGATTTTAGGGCGATTTTCGATGAATTTTGGGTTTTTTGCAGGCGATTTTCTGATGATTTTAGGGTGCTTTTTGATTAATTTTGTGGGTTTGGGGATGGTTTTGTGATGATTTTAGGGTGATTTTTCATGAATTTGGGGGTTTTGAGGGTGATTTTTGATGAATTTTGGGGATTTTGAGGTGATTTTGTGATTATTTTAGGGCGATTTTTGATGAATTTTGGGTGTTTTGGAGGCAGTTTTGGGGTGATTTTGTGCTGATTTTAGGGTGATTTTCTATGAATGTGGGGGGTTTTGGGATGATTTTTGATGAATTTTGGGGGTTTGGAGGCAATTTTGGGGGTTTTGGGGTGATTTGGGGGTGATTTTAGGGCGATTTTCGATGAACTTTGGGTTTTTTGAGGCGATTTTGTGGTGATTTTACGGTGATTTTTGATGAATTTTGGGGGTTTGGAGGCAATTTTGGGGGTTTTGGGGTGATTTTCTATGAATTTTAGGGGTTTTGGGGTGATTTTCGATGATTTTTGGGGTTTTGGTGGTAATTTTAGATTATTTTTGGAGGTTTTGGGGTGATTTGGGGGTGATTTTCAATGTGTTTTTGGGGTGATTTTAGATGATTTTTGGGGTGATTTGGGGGTGTTTTTCAATGAAGTGATTTTCAATGATTTTTGGAGGTTTTGGGGTGATTTGGGGGGGATTTTCAATGTGTTTTTGGGGTGATTTTAGATGATTTTTGGGGTGATTTGGGGGTGTTTTTCAATGAATTTTGGGGGTTTTGGGGTTATTTTTGATGTTTTTTTGGTTTTTGGGGCAATTTTGGGGTGATTTTCAATGATTTTTGGAGGTTTTGGGGTGATTTGGGGGTGATTTTCAATGTGTTTTTGGGGTGATTTTAGATGATTTTTGGGGTGATTTGGGGGTGATTTTCAATGTGTTTTTGGGGTGATTTTAGATGATTTTTGGGGTGATTTGGGGGTGTTTTTCAATGAATTTTGGGGGTTTTGGGGTGATTTGGGGGTGATTTTCAATGTTTTTTGGGCTTTTTGGGGTGATTTGGGGGTGTTTTGGGTATTTTTGGGGTGTTTTGGGGGGGTTTCTGGGGTGTTTTGGGGCGTTTTGGGTGTTTTGGGGCTGTTTTTGGGGTGTTACTGGGGTATTTTTGGGGTGTTTCGGGTGTTTCTGGGAGGGTTTTGGGTGTTTTTGGTATTTTTGGGGTGTTTTGGGGGGTTTCTGGGGTGTTTTTGGGGTGGTTTTGCGTGTTTTGGGGTGTTTTTGGGGGGTTTCCGGGGGGTTTCTGGGGTGTTTCTGGGGTGTTTTTGGGGTGTTTTTGGGATGTATTTGGGGGTGATTTTCGATGAATTTTGGGGGTTTTGGGGTGATTTTCGATGATTTTTGGGCTTTTTGGGGTGATTTGGGGGTGATTTTTGATGGTTTTAGGTTTTTTTGGGGCGATTTTGGGGTTTTTTGGGTCTCACCTGCGAAGCTCAGGTGCCTCAGGTGGGCGTTGGCCCGCGCCTCCTGCACCCGCTCCAGCACCGCCCGCCACGCACCTGGGGGGGCACGGGGGTCACCCAAAACCCCCCAAATTCACCCCAAATCCTCCCCTGAGCCATCCGAAAAAAAAAAACCCAAAATCCCCCCCAAAACCCCCCCTAAAAACATCCTAAAAAAACTAAAAATTGCCCCCCAAAACCCCAAAATCCCTCCCAGAATCCCCCAAATTCACCCCAAATCCTCCCCTGAGCCATCCCAAAAGAAAACCCCAAAATCCCCCAAAAAACCATCCTAAAAAAACCAAAAATTCCCCCCCAAAATCCCAAAAT